ATGATCCAGGGATTACTCTGAGACAATATTTCTCAATATGCAAAATAAATGGTAACATTCTACAAAAATACGTCCATGTTCTGACCTTTGTAGTCCTCTTAGAGGTCCAACTAGGTAAAGAAAAGTACAACCAGCCTCTAGCATAATCTCCTAGTGTAAGTTACTCTCAAAACTATTTAGACGGCACTTAATGCATCAAAACTCAGGAGGCAGAGTGTGAAGAGGGTTTAATTCGAATGCCTAACAATTTTGAGTACAAGGTAAACTAGGTTGCACGAATATTGGGCTCTGATTTACCGTTTGGCATCTCTTCTCATGCCCATGCGTACTCGATACACGAACGGATGTTCTACTCCCACCCTTCAAATTCCCTTGGTCAGCATTGGTTGTCGTTTTGGTGGAGATTGGATTAATTTGATTGGCTTGTCATATTCTCTTCACTAGCTCATTTAAGTCAATAATGTTTACAATCAATTAAAACAACCCTACAGAGTATGCTTAAAGGATGATTGGTCATTGGTCCATATCACTTAAATTTCAGAATAAAAGACTGCCATATTATAGAAGAGAGGCTGTAAGAGCCTTATTATTGGGACCAATAGTGGGTGTATCAACGACATAAAGTGAAACACGCAAATTATTGACTAATGAAACAGTCGTTGGTCTATTTTTACAATACTGCATTATATGGAATACTCCGTTTAAACAAGAAAGAAAGAAAATATATTTTCAAAATATCCACACTACGTAATATTTGCCAGTAATATTTGCGTTTAAATTTGGCGTTACCAGTTTGGTCGCCAATGTAAATGGCCATTTCTCTAAGTAGAAGAAACACATAAATGTCTCAGACCATAATCAAAATATTAATTAATTAAGGCGCGCACAAATTAAAATTTTCTAAGAAAGTATCGTGCGTGACGTTTAAAACATTGTTGGTCATTCAATAAACTAATAAGGAATTATTTGTGTATATGCTTTCGGCAGGAAGACACTTAGTTAGCATAAAAGATGGGAATTTAACCTGTTCATTGGTGAAAATTACTTCCAAAGACTTTTATTTTTGTATGCTATTTTCAAATATCTGCTAATCTGAATAAGTATTCTCCAATAATCATTCAATTTAAAATGCGAAATTCATGCCAATTGAATTTTTACATATGTTTGCAACGTCATGGTAACTATTCCATCTTTTCTATCACGTGCTCTACACAACTTGCACTCTTGAAGCGTTTAAATGAGATTTTAGTTCTCTGATGTCTTTTGTGGCTATGATCGCCTCCACTTAATATACTTTTATTCGTTGGTTACATTCGATAATTTGAAAATTGTTTCCCAATACTTGCATCTTCAAGACATTTGTGTCTTAAGGAGATCTAATCTATTAGTACAAATTCAAACTGCATAAGCGTGCCAATTAATATTAGACAAATAAGAGATTCGTCAATTAGATTGTGATAAAAACTTCGTATAAATAAAATGTACCTTTTCCATTCTTTGAAAAGCACTTTATTTCATTATCCAATCCCTTTTGTGATAAACTAAAAACGCATTTAACTTTCTTGATCTTAAAGTTACGAAATAGCAGGTCTCTCCGTGTTGGCGTGCACTGGTTTTTGGGGCCCTAATAGCACGTGACCTTTTATATCCCCGAATGACCAGGCAACCAATCAAATCGAAGGAGGATGGCGGTGTAAAATATTTACTGAACGCTAAGAGGGGAAAACACATATTGAATTCTTAACCCACATTAAATTTTTTGCAACTACAACTTGCAATATTTTTAAAAACACGATGAATTTCAAGAAAATATTGAAATATTCATTTCAAATGTCAGGCGCTTCACAGAGGGGGAGGAACATCAAAGTGACAAAAAATCGAGAGGGGGGGGGGTGACAGAATAATGATTCACAGATGCAAAAGAGACAGACAGACATAAAGGTAGTAAAAGATGAGGTGAGTACTGTGGAAGTAGTCGAATATGACATAGAGTGGGGTCATGGTAGCTTGAAGTGAGAAGTCAACTGCTGGTTAATAGACTTTTTGCCGTATGGGTATACGTTTCCCAGGGTGCACCACGTGAAAGTAAGTCTATCGCACACCCCCCCCCATTCATGACAAACTGGGAGTATTGAAATATTGCTCAGCGTAAAATCTTGTTCTTTTTCTATAACACCTCTTCTTTTCTAAAATATTCAGTGTAAATTGAATAGCTAACGCGCAACATTATCCAGTCGCGTTGAAATATTAAACTCTCCCTACATTTCCACTGTTCCATCATCATCCAACCCAAGCAACAAACGGGACAAGACATTTAGGAAGTGCTTCACATTAATATTCAAGCACACCTGCTAGACAGAGATAAGGCAAGAACTTTACCATTCAAACAAAACGTAGAATTCAATCACCCTAATGATTGCTTCACTTTTTTTTAATTTCATTTTTTTTAATCAGCTTAAATCATGTTGATAGTAGAAAGATAGGTATCTATTTGTTTGAATACGTATGAAGCTTATGAACATATTCTCGCGTTACTTGCTGCATTTCAGTTCCATCTTACAGTAGCCAATACGGTCACAAGTCACTCAACTTTGTGACAAATATTACAGAGTGTGACCAGATTTCGAAAAGATGAATCACCGTTGTCTTCTTCTTCTTCTTATCTGTTTGTTCATTCCCAATTGGGAATAGAGGAAGTGAAACAAACTTGAAAAAAGTGTTATTTACGTTTCTACTTTGGCGTAGCGTGTCAATCTAATTACCTGTTTGCTACTACAATTTTCAAATTTCCTCAATCTTGTTTACCACTTTCAACAATGGTAAATTTTTGACACTTTCCAAATAGGTAAGCTTGCACTCATCATTTCATATTCAAATAATGAAGATATAAAGCATTCTTTTCGAAAAAGTTACTAGCTTGATTTATATTCAAGTAAAATTCTAGAATCTTTGAAAAAGTAAAAACAACTTCAATTTTATATATAGGATTCGTGAGCATGTCGTCTGTTAAAATGCATTCCATTTGGGTAATAGAGACACTATTAATGCCATTCCAAATTTTCGTAGAATTTTGACCGATGGAGACAGTTTTGGATGAATGTAACGGGTTATTGTGAACTCACAACATTAGTTAGTCGGAAGTGCTTTTGGAAGGTAAGTCAGATATTCTGATTGAGGGCAAGAAGTTGCGAATTATTTGTCGTGAAGGAAAGCACCCACCCAACCTCTCGACTCAAATCAAAAGTGGAGGTCTGTCTGGTAAAGGCAAAACTGGAGTCATGAAATTTAGAGCTCTGAATGCTGGCAGGAAAGAAAACAATATCCCAACAAATTGTTGTGCATTTGGAACAGTGGACAATACCCAAAAGACTGTATTGCATCATGTTTGCCTGGCAAAACACCTTCACAGATTGGGAGTATACACTCAACCCACATGTCACCTACATGTAACCTACAGGAGGGACTGGAAAAGACACACCTGATTCGGTGTCCAGCCCTAAAGACAACGACAGAAACCCAGAGATACTGGGAAGCAAGAAGACAGCTAATGAACTGCTATTAATTAACTGCTATATATGTACCCCCCCCCCCCCACCCTTGGGGAAGCTGATGTCAAAGTTTAAGGGCTAATACTTAATATCATAAAGCCTGCCATTTGAAAAAATAAATATTTCATTATTGTGACAGACACGGACAAATTGACAAACGAGACAAATTTGATGATTCGGAAAGACAAACGAACTCATATCTTTGTGTTATGAAGACCTAAATATCACGTGTGGGCGAATAACCGCAGTTTCAAGCGCTCGATTTCTGAATATAGCATCACTTAGGAAGGAAGTGCTAAAATAATCAGTAAAAGAACTTTCACTCTTTCTAAAATATCTGTTATCGGTGTAATTATATCATGTACTTTTGGAAAGTTTATTTTTGTTAAGTGGGGTGTTCGACAAACTTACCTCCACGTGGTGCACCCTGGGCAACGTATACCCATACGGCAAAAAAGTCTATCAACTGGCAGTTGACTTCTGACTTCAAACTACCTTCACCCCACTGTATGTCATATTCGACTACTTAACAGTACTCACCTCACCTTTCATCTACCTTTGTGTCTGTCTCTTTTACATCTCGACTTTTTTCACTTTGATGTTCCTCTCCCTCTGTGAACCCTGAAGTCAACTAAAGGGCTAATGATAACCATTAAAACACCTGCCATTTGATATAAATAAATAAATATTGGCAAGTTATGATATATAGCCTTTCCGTTGCTGATTGAAAAGGTGCGCTATGGATATATTACAACTGAATGTAATATTTTAACCATTGAAATAGATTTCAAGTGCAGTTAGCATTCCAAACGGAGTAAATGCTCTCAAACATTTCAAGCCATCAACCATCAGTCACAATTCGATCACTTTAACTTCATGACATTTAGTGTTCATTGCCAAGGGTTCATCAAAAGCAGTATTCATAATTACACCTCACTGTCAAATTTGTACTTTATCTCCAAATTTTTAAGCATTCTCATTACATTATGATAAATTAACTAAGATAATGCATATATAGCACTATTCCACCTTAGTTTCTAGTCTATTAAAAAAGATAAATGCGCTCTATTAAAGCAGAAAAGGAACGAAAGTACGCATCATGGTGTTGGCCAGTCTGTGCAGAAATACGCAAAGGCCCATGGAAACCTAATCGCTAGCATCATAATTATCACGCCATGCGAATGCACGTTCACTATTGATTACTTTCTTCAGCCACAGAAGAAGCAATGCACGCTGCACCGAGCAATCGATGCCACGGCCGCAGTTGTGCGCTATGATTGGTTGAGAGCCTGTGTGCGTGTGCACCTTTACGGGAATGGGAGGAGGAAAGCGAGATCCCAAAGCGTATTCGGTGGTATTCGAACTAGTAGGAGACTACCGGTCACATATTCTACCTCCGCTTTGAACATTTCTGCCGAACTTTCTCTTTTCTAAGCGAGATTATTATTAAACATGGACTCTATTAAGAAGAAGATGTTGGCGATGAAATTGGAAAAGGAAAATGCCTTAGAAAAGTACGTTAATTGATTTAAAGTTTAAATAAACCCTTCCATTTTAAACGAATTTTATGAATATTATAAACTCTGTAAACAGAAAATTAATTTTTTAGCCCCATTTTTAAGACGAGGACATTACCAACGATAAAATTAGTACTTAAAAAGATAATAATTTGACTAAATTACTACGTGTCTGTATTGATTTAAAAGCGCAGCTAAGCCACAGAATGCTAGATCCCATTGATAAAGATTATCATTGCTGCGACAAACAAATTCATTCGTCTTTTGTAAAATCCATAAAAGCTGATATTTTATCTGAAACAAGGAATGATATGCCAATTCAAGGTTCTGTCCACTCATTTGATTAGAGGAATGCATGATGGTTAAGCTCAGACAAAATCAGTACTAACCTCCATTCTCTCAAAATAAAATTACTTAAAATTATGCTTTGACTTGTCCGACGAGACTTACGTAGATCATTTATGCTAATAAATCCGCAACCGTACCTACGAAATAAAGGTCATGATAATATGACATCTGAAGTATTTAGCTATCCTATAGGTTGTGAGTTAATTTCATTGGTTTATTTTAACAATGAGCAATAGCATTAAATTAAACCTTTTATGCATATATAGCCAAGTTTATGAATATATCTTTGTTAAAGCAAGGGAACTTATACTAGTACTTAATTAAATTATCATGAACAATTTTCAAAGTTAATAAAGTAACTTATTAGAAACAATGCTTATACGGAAGACGGCTTGTCATTATGAGTATGAATATTCACTTTTAGAGCTATTAGTCTCGAAAACCAGCTTAAGGAGAAAGCTAAGGACTTTGAGAAGAAGGAGGAAGAAATGAATGACTGGCAATCAAAAGTGAAGAGCCTTCAAACAGAAGTTGATACCGTTCAGGAATCTCTTCAGGAAGCAATTGTCAAACTTGAGGAAACCGAGAAGCGTGCTACCAACGTAAGTTCTGATTACAAAGTGATGTTGAGTATTAAAAGGAAAGACGATTCTCCTTCCTTGGAACTTTTATGTTAAATTAAATCTGATCATTCCATTTAAGTGTTGTGGAAATTATTGATCATATTCATATTTAACCTTAATCAGCCTAAAAATTAAATAATTACGAACAATAATTTTATTTGATTTAACTTGAAAACAATAATTATATTAAGTTTTCCACCACAGATGGATTAAGAAATATTGACCATGACCCAATAGTTTTAACTAGTTATAAAATCGTTGCGCAAAACGATAGCTGAAAATGGATTGTCCGAACAATGTGGACGTCGTTAAGCGCAAAATTTCGGCTATGAATAGGAAGAGGGAGATGTTAGAGGAAAAGATTGCAAATAAAGTAGAGGAAATCGAGAATGAACGATGTAAAAAGGAAGCTGTATGTTTTATCATATTTAATGTTTGCATTACTTATTGATTAATTATTTCACACCTTGCCTTATTGGTTACCTTCATGCATTTTATTGAAATAAATATTAAATAACTTAATAGGCTGAGGCTGAAGTTGCCGCTATGACTCGTCGCATTAGGCTTTTGGAGGAAGATTACGAACAATCAAGCGGGCGACTTACTGAAACTTCTACGAAGCTTGATGACGCCAGCAAGGCAGCTGAAGAAAGCGAGAGGTAGGCTTCAATTATTTTAAATTTAAGCTTTTTGAATGCCGAAATGTAAATATGCATGTATATCCATTGTTTGTATTTGCATGTGTTTAGTGCACGTTGGCGCTTGAATAATCAACAGAATGCTGATGAATTGAAAATAGCCGAATTAGAACGCTCTATCGAAGCCGCTACCATGGCAACACAGGAATCAGAATGGAAATATGAGGAGGTATTGCTTGCTTATTCATTTTTTGTTTTGCCTTCCTCACGCAATAACACCTAGCTCGAGAATGTCAATTTTTAATATTAACTTATTAATTGAAATTAAATTACTTGATCACGTGCGTGCAGGAGTCGTAAGGCCCTTGAAACCAGATCTATTTCTGATGATGAAGTAATGGGTCAACTTGAAGAGCAAGTCAAAGAAGCTAAGGATATGGCCGAAGACGCTGAACGCAAATATGATGAGGTAGGTTTCTCTACAATCTGTTTCTATTGGTTTAAATTTCTTCGTCGCTATTGATTTTCTCGGTTTTCTCTTTTCCAAGGCTGCCCGTCGATTGGCTGTTACGGAGGTTGATCTTGAACGTGCTGAAGCACGTTTGGAGACTTCTGAGAGGTAATGGCCCCGGAGATCCTCCAAGTGGAATGTGTCTGTTTTCTTTTCTGGCATCCTGCACGCGCTTTATCCAGGAATTTTAGGGAATTTGTAGATTATTGGCAGTTGTTTTGCTTGTTGATATTATTTAATCCTGCATATGCTGCATGCCTTCCCTTAAAGACCATGAAAAGGATCGCCATTGCCCAAGAAAGTCTTGTCGCCGCTCAGCAACGGGCTGAATCAATTGAGAGGTAAGAAAGTGCTCGGTTGTGTCAATACTTAATCAGAATCATAGTTGTATTTGTTGATGTTACGGGTTGTCAATTGTTCGTAAGCCCTAGTTTTACTACCGTTTCCTGTAAACTCTATGCCATATTTTCATTTGGGTTTGTTTTATTTGTTGCATTTAGAGAAGGCGGAACATTTTGAAGGGCTGGGAAAGTAGTAAATTGTTTCATAAAACAGGTGGTGATCTTTATCTCATAAGACCTTCCTATATAATAGCGGCGCGGGTCTGCCAAATTAGAGGTAGCAAGATAAATATCCATCAGAGCATATGAAATGATATTGACAGCCAACCACTCTTATTTATTATGGTCAACGTGAGTAGTGGCAGAATGAGTCTCCTGTAAGGGCGGTCTAAGAGTACCTTCCCTCTACTGGGGTCAGGCTTTGCGAATATTTCACCAAATGGACTTGGGAAGAATTCGCCCGTAAATCTTAGCCTAAAGTAGTCGTTAATTTTATTTGCACTGGTTAAAGACTTTTCATCAGTGATTTATATTTTTACAAATTTGCCGTTATAAATTAGTGAATAGTCAGTAAAATTGGTTGAGATCTTTGCGGCAACCATTGTTTAAATTTTGATTTTATCTCTTTTTAGCACCGCCAAGAAACTGGAAGAACAGTTAGCTGATGTCACGGGCAGGCTGAAAGCTAGAGAAATTGCACTAGAAAAGGTGATGCCCGCTTGATCCGATTACCCCCCCCCCCCCCCCCCCCCCACCGCTCATCTCCCCTATATCTACTGTCTAGCATCTTGGCATGTGTTTGATAAGGGCAGATAGTTTTCATGACCTCAAAAACACTTTTCACGAGATTCCCTCCCATTTTTAGCAAAATTGTTGAACTTGAGGAGGAGTTGCGAATTGTTGGCAACAACATGAAATCTCTCGAGGTTTCAGAACAGGAGGTAATATAACCCAATTGATCCATAAGGGATCCATAGGGCTATTGTTAAAAATTTGAGAGATTAATTTTAATAATGACTTCGTAAATGACTTTCTTAGTCGCTTCAACGCGAAGAAAGCTATGAAGAGACCATTCGTGATTTGACTGAACGTCTCAAGACGGTAAGATTGTTCCCACGGCAACGAGATGAGAATGCTAGAAAGCCTGTCGAGCTTTTGGGGAATGCTTTTTTCCTTTATTCTCCTCTTCTAACTTGCAATGCGTTTTTTTCTCCCTTTGCTACCCTCGGCATGACCGCATGCGTTGTCTCGCCTTGAATGCTCCCCGCGAACCGACCGTGTAGAACATGGGGCTAGAAGAGTACTTTTCGAAACGTCTTGAAGTTCTCCAAGAACAGCTGAAGGAAGTGAGTTTGTTAATGTTTCATGTGAAATCAAACATCAGTGGGGGGGGGGGGGGGGGGGGAGGGGGACGTCAAAGGAGATGCAATGTTTGCGAGAAACAAGTCGATTTGTTTACTAGCTTCAAGTCACTTTGGTATCTGGACTCCTAAAACTAAATGTGATTTTTAAATATACTTGATTGCAATATTCCATTATCAATCAAGTAGTTTATTGAAGGTTGTTTCTTTAGCTTTTCTGAGTTTTAAATGAGCGTTGAAACGAAAGCGTCCTCTGGATGTATGAACTACTTTATTACAATTAGCTATGTAATATGTGAAATTCGTGGAGCTTGGTGGCATAGCTGATTTATAATTTGTTAGGAATAGAATTGGTTGGTTCCCGAATTGTTGAACTCCTTTGTCTAAGAAAGCCACATCGATTTTCGACTTTCGATTGTAGTTTCATACCCAATTATAACAGTCGAGAATCTCTAGGGACGTGGTGTATTTGCTATTCAAATTAGGGGTCTTGAGGTTGAAATGCATAATGCGCATCTATCACAGATCAATGGCCGAATGTGAATTCCTAATTCAGTGCATTTCAAGAAGGCTTTAAATTTGACACTGTTTTAAGGGTTCGAAAAGGTGTTTCAATGGATTTGGAGATTTACTGTGCTTGTGGTCATGTTCTCTCGGTAGGTTCAATCCGTTATCTTGCTACCGCATGCAAGGAATGGCAAAATAGATATTAAATAAAACAACTGATTTAATCTCAAGTATTTCGATAATCCATAAACATGTATAGTCCGAGCAACGTGCAGCTGAAGCTGAACGCCAAGTTTCCAAGCTCCAAAACGAAGTCGATCGTCTCGAAGGTTCGATTTACTCACTTTTGTTTTATTTCTTCTCTTTTCTGCCTTTTTATGGCAAACGTTTTGCCCGACTGTCTTCTTGCTTGTTGCACGTTCTCTGCATGATTTGGTCTATGTATCAAGGCGGAATGTCGTGCTGAAAGTGCTGAGGCCGTTGCCAAACGCTACGAACAGGAGATTCAACGTGTGAAGGGTTAGTCAACCATCAAACCTGTTAATTATTTTCCGTCAGGGTGTACTTGCTTAATAAGTATATCCTTATTTTCTCTTTAGATACTCTCTTCTCTGAGAATAAGACATTCACACTTCTTCGGAAGGAAATTGATTCTGCTTTGGATGACTACCATTCGATATAAACAAGAATGAAATAACATCGTCGACACTTGCTTGATTCGAATCACATAACCGCAATTTTCTTTTTAATTTTTTTTTCAATACGGCCTGCTCTATCTCTGCATTTAGCATGAACACGCGCTACTTATATTGAGGCACATTTTCGCATCTTTAGTCATTTTTCTTCCAATTGCCGCCTGTTGTTTAATAATGTCAACTTTTGCTGGTGTTGTACTTGCTTTCGCTTGTGTATTTGTCTCTCTTCCTCTCTTATTTTTCTTTTTATACCTTGATTCTTAATATTATTCTTTCTTTAACCGCACGATAAATTCGATAAGCATGCCTGGTAGTTTCTGTTTTGCTAAACCAGAGTCGTTTTTATTTTAATCGGCGTAGAATTAACGGTTTAAACTGAGGTTTAAAACTATTGGCTAATCTTTTTGCACTGGTCCAATAAGAATTTTGCCGAGTTCAGGGTTAAAATCCTTTTAACTTATATATATTGAGAGGTCCCATGTTATTGGATTGGTTAGTCACCACGAATGAGGTGGATTAACTGGTTTGCAAACGCCTTCAATGCAACCGAGTAATTTGCTGTTTGAATGATTGATAGAAAATTTAATAGCGTAGATAATATTGGAATTAGGGAGAAGTTAAAGTTCACATGTAATGAACAAAATGGGGTGGGGGTGGCAGAGCCGATTGAAAGTGCTTGCTTTTCTAAAGGAGGTGGCTTGAGTGACATACTCATAAATTTCGCTATTTTATTTGAACAGACGAGCTCTTGTCCGAGAAAGAACGCTATCGTGGCATCAGTGGCGAGTTGGATACTACTTTCGAGGAGCTCACTTCCTTCTAAGCAACGAGATAATAACGCCTTTGAGTATCCTCATTCAAGAGCCACTTGGTTGGACCCTAACCATCTCACTTTATTCTCATGTCTAGATTTCAGTATTTACCTGTCTCCTCCTCGTTCTTCCCCATCTTTCCTCTTTCTTTCGAGCTGCTTTACTGTAAAGCCACTTGCTCATTCACTTCTACTGTGACCGAAACCCTTTCACTCTCTCTTTCTCTCACATTATAATTCTATGCTTTCGATCAAATTTATTATTATAATTATCACTAATTCCCGAATTCATCCTAATGAATGGGTCGATAATAGGGAAGTTATGCAACGATAAATAAAAACTAAATCCATTTCTTTTAAAATAAATAAGTAATTAGCGCATTAGTTTCATAGGGTTTCGATTTTAGTAATTCGTTTAAAAAAGATAATAAGTTAGAAATTATGTCAAAGGCAACCTAAGCAAGTGTAAAATTTCGTTTCAGGAAAATGTTGCAAATAATGCGAGAAAAGCATAGCAGGCCGCATGGAATTACGCCTTTATGGTATTACGCAATTTAGGTTAATTAAATAGTCACTTATTGGCACAAACAGTTGCAAATACGACCTAACTGTTGAGTTCCAGCATTCGTTTTCACCTTCAATTCCACAAGTAAGAAAAGGGGAAAAGATAATGGTCTGTGTGCTCGCCTGTCATGTTAGTGATCACAGATCAGATTGGCATGGCCCCACAAGCAGAAAACACTAAATCTGTCTTCCTACTGAGAGTCATTCCCATCTTAATATTCGGCCCGATTTTCGAGACACCTCTCGTATCCTTAGACCCCTGATTAAGTAACACGATACTTACCGATAAACTACATCTAGTCAAAAACTAATCGAATTGGTTTAACCCGACTCAATCACCATTGTGTATATAGCCTTTCTGCCAACCCGAATATCATTCGCCGCATCCACCAGCACCTAAACACCTCTTCATTTCCATTGGCTTGCTCAATTTCTCCTATTAGACTCCACTATTAATACACCTTGCAGACTGAATCGGCTTCCGGAAAATTTAGTCTACTGACCATCAAGTGATTAGTAACCAGATGGCCAACTGCAAATGCTCCTTTTAATGCTAGAGTTGGAATTGCGTCTACCAACCACAGCTTGGATCGAGGTACTTGCACATACTGCAACCAGTTGCCAGGTTTAACATTAAATTATAATTCAGTTTATGAACGAAATTTTGCAATCTGTAACAATTCGTCCAATATTGGAAGTGCTAAAAGACTGAGAACTGGTGTCACACCCAGCTCCACAATTTCAGAGTGGCATAAGCATATATTTGTAAGCAGTAAAATTTAAGGCAACAATTGTACATAGATTATCACATCAATTTCTTGTGATCTTTCGGTGTTTACGCTGAAAGTGCAGAGTTGTTGGTGGAAACGCGAGGTGGTTTTTCTGGACATGCATGATTAAACATGCGCTTGAATTCTCCATCTTCGCTTTCGGATATTTTCACATCTGATTGGAAAAAAAGACAATTTATCGAACTTTCAAAAGAAACACAAGTCAACGCAAAAAAGAAACGTCTATAACGGATTAATAAGAATTGAAACTGTTCCTTTCATTCGAACAACAGAGAAACCAGGCCGAAGCCTAGTCACTACCAATTAATTATGACTAAGCAGTATCCATTGAAAGCTACCAATATCGAATGATTGATCAATTTTTAGACTATTTAATCCGGCGAAAAATGCATAAGAAGTGGAGAAAAACTGTCGAAAATTAAGGCTTACACAAGGAAATGGTGATTTCATGTTCACTTCAAGGGAAACTATCTCACTAATGTTCCCAGTTAGTCATGCCATAGGATCAAGTTTCTGATACCAATCGGTATATGTCTGTTGAATGGCATCACTAATCGCAATTATTATTGCAGTTTAAGTGAGAAGACAAGTTTCTGCTGCATTTCTGTCTGAAATACGCATTCAAATACCATTTAATACGTTTAAGCATTTTTAATTTTTCAATCTGGGGTGTGCGATAGACTTACCTCCACGTGGTGTACCCTGGGCAGCGTATACTCATACGGCAAAAAAGTCTATTAACTGGCAGTTGACTTCTCACTTCAAATTACCATCACCCCATTGTATGTCATATTCGACTACTTCTACAGTGCTCACCTCATCTTTTTTCTACCGTTGTGTCTGTCTCTTTTACATTGTTGAAACACTTCAATCTCGACATCTTTTTCACTTTGAAGTTGCTTCCCCTCTGTGAAGCTTAAATGATGACTATCAAAACGCCTGCCATTTGATATAAATAAATAAATACAATTTTTCAATCTCAACTTTTATCAAAAGGAGCTCAAACCCACCGCCATCTGCCAACTAATGGTACTTATCAAAACAGAGCAAAATTTGCTTTAAAAATTTTATCTTATTTACTAATTAATACGGGTTGAAAAATTTCGCCAATTAATAATCAGATTGATTTCATGTGCATTCGCATAACAAATATAAATAAAAAATGAACAACGCTTCAACCATTGATACTTTTGATGTGGTTAAATGTCCGGTATGACTGTGGGAGGTTTCAATGCATTATTAGACAAATCCTAAAAAATAAAATTAGAAAATCATGTATTTATTTGTACTCA